CAAACTGAAAAACGAAGGAACAAAGAAGCAGTTTTTTGCGGATTGATTCGCTAGATGATTTGCAAAATACATATATCATATAAGCACACATACGTTACGAGTTATATTATACTCTTTGCGGAAACGAAACCGTGGAAAAAGCCGCTTTAAAGGCCATAAAACATTTGTTTCCACCGTCAACCGCTTGCCGAGGTGGTATATTGCGTTCGTCCGCGCGAGCGCGGGATTTTGAATTGAATTTGAAATCAGGGGATCCGATTTTATGGCAGTCGGGTGTCAAATGTCGAAATGTCGCGCCTGGTGCCGGCTTATCGTCGGAAACCTCTGAGATTTCGGAACGAAAGGTCTGAAAAAGCGTTATCGGTTTACTTCGCAGGTCGCGATACAGGATGCAGAAAACCGTTCAATTCCGTTTTCGATTTGGAATTCGCGTGAAAAAGTACGGAAGAGGGGCATAAAAGGGCGCAGAGGTCACTGTTTCGTTTTATTGGCTCTACTCTACCCTGATGATCACTCGAAATGATCGGGTCATACTTATAGCTCAGAAGTTCAAAGCTTTCTTCTTCCAACTTGTTGCAGATGTTTTCCGCGAGATCCCGAAATTCTCTTCCTATTATTAACAATATTCATTTTTTTATTGTGATTTCTTTTATTTCAATGCTTACTTACCATCTGAATACTTACTATCTAAGAATATGACGTCAGAAGTGAGAAAATACAGAGTAAAAATTTTTGCAAATGGTTTGAACAGAAATATTTTTTTAATAAAACATTTGCAATCGATAAAATAAACTTATAAAATATATTAAAAATTATCTATTAGTTTCAGGAACAAATTAAATCATATTTATTTCTATATATTTATTATTAATTTGACAATTTATCATAGCTGTGAGTGTAATTTACTTCGTTTCTAGTTAAACATATATCTATTTCCGGATATATAATTACTTATTAATTAGCATTGTATATTTTACAAATCAGTTCTATTAATTATAAGTATTGTTTTATTGAAACATATTTGCATAGTGATATATTCTGTAAGAATTTTTATCGTGTATTTTTTCGTTTTTGGCGTCACAATCTGGGATATAATAATAATGATAAGTGAATAAAAATCCTAAATTCGTATTTTGATTAATTTCATATTGAAAGAAAATAAAATCAAAATTGATTTCATTTTTTCTACAAACACTGTTAAAAAAACAGAAATTTGCTTCCGTTACATATAATGAAAGCAAATTTCAAGCAGATACATTAAAAATATTTACGCAATATAACGTTGTCAATGAAAATGAAGTTATAAATAACTTAAATTTAACGTTTACTTATATTAAATTTCATGTATCTATACACAAATATACATTTCAGTTGCAGATACATTAAATTTAATTTGATGCACAGTTGGAAAAAATGTGTTGAATTTAACATGAATCACATGTCCCAAACTCAAATTTTTTAGTTAATTTTACACAAGATGAATATGTTAGAAGGTAATACAAATATTATGTAAGAGAATAAATACAAAGAAAGATAACATCGACACAGTTTGTAAACAAATCGTGAAAGCATATTTTTTATTATTTTTTGTCAGAAAATTAACATTTATGATATGTTAAATTAATATGGATTTCAGTCTTTCATTTATAATCTTAGAATTTATATTTTAAAACATATTATTTTTATGTTACTTGTTCACTTACTCATAAATTGTGTCATTTTGACACTAAAAAATATTGAATATCCCCCCCCCCCAATTTCACAAAAAAATCTTTAAATAACATAATCATATTAAATTAACACTTGAATATGTTAAAAAAGTCAACACAAACTGTTAACACAAACGTGAATGAGCCGTTTCTAAAACAAATTTTTTTATTGTGTGTCATAAAATTGAATTTAATTTATGTAACTTAAAAGTACATTAAATTTCATGACATTTTTAACAGTGTATATAAAATATACACTTTCAATATATGCAAATTTTATATTTCATCTTATTATTATATTTAAATAAAGCAGATATAATATCACTTTGAAGATCTCTTTTATGATATTTGTAAGACAAGCGGACGTTATATTAATATAGATTGACATTGCAATCCACAGTGTCGGCAATATAATTATATCAATGTTTGCAATAATTCGTGTTAATATGAATTTGCATATGCGACATTAATATGTCGAAATGTTGCGAAATATAGATATGCAGTATATATGTTAAATAAATAAACTTTGTATAAGATTAGCATGGATCGTTAATATCTGAGACAAACAATATCAGATTGTAGAAATTTGCTACAGTAACAGATATTCATTTTAGGATTCTTCACGATAACGCGCATCATGTGCCACATTAACAACAAATATTATTAACAAAAGGCGTGTTACAATGTGGTACGGATTAACGTCTTGAACCTTATCACATATAAACAGCTGCGGCTATATTTAGTGATATTATATGGATGAATGTTATCATATTTCGTCATCATTCGATAAAAACGACTGTTTCATTGTTTGAATTAGCAAATTCAGTTTTATTGTCATGGCTCTAAACAACCACTACTCGTATATTTCTGTGACTAGTAAATATATGTCACTCTATGTTTTCATGTAAATGTTTCAAATACAATGCTCTCTCTCAAACAGCATTTCAATATACTATTCAGTCAATGTCACAATATTGTGTCAATAGCTGAATTAAGTCTAAATGAATAATTCATCGCGAGTATTTCATATAATTAATTTTTTTATATTGAAATATTGTATATATGTACTTTTCACGATTTTATTTAATATCGATTCATCATAACGACTAATATAAATAAATACTTAATTTTATATAAAATTAATGTACATATAAAAAAGAAGGAGAAAGATAAAAACAGACAAAGAAAAAATAATCTTAGGATAAAATAGTAAATATAAAATCAAGTATAAAACTAATAGTTATAATCGATTGCATGATTAGATTAGAAGAACAATCATTGAATGTTTTCCAACAACGTACACAGATGACACAGTGTAACACTGTGTCTTACACACAATGTAATACTGTATCTTACTAAAAAGTTTGATAGCCATACTTATTTTGCAATAAAATCAAAAATCGCCAATTCTGAAAAAATAATAACTTTAAATCTAAATAAAAATCTATTATTGATACGTTAAATATAATTATAAGAATAAGAATGGAAAACTACAATGCATTCTGGTGTTAAACTATGAAACTAAACTACGTTTCAACAAGTATCTTACACAATGAAACGTCTCTGTGTCCTAGCTGGAAAACAGCCATTGTGGCTCTGTAAAGTCGTTTAACACTCCAAAGCGTGTTAAAAAAACAATAAAAAATAAATATTAATAAATTGAGCTCATCTTCAGGAATTAATTCCTTACCTGATCGTTGTCTTGTTGATCTTGGCCGTAAGTGGGAGTATCACCATTAGGGGTGGTGGCAGCGGAGGGTCGCTGTGACGTTGACAAGTTGATCGCGCCGTCTCCGTCTGTATCATGATCCATTATGCCATCGTCCTGAAATCACGATCATCGTTACGTCAGAAGGTACATTCTTATGCATCGAATTCGATTACACAAATAAAACGCGCTTTTGGAGAACATTGCTGTATTTTCCTATCGTCATGATTTAATTTATTATAATAATAATGTAGCAATATCTATAATACCATAGCAAATATCTGTAATACTATAACCATAGCAAAAGATGACTTATCAAATTGATATCAATATCGATATAATAAGAGATTAACGCATCAATACATTTTTATTCGTATTACTTTTAAATCGATTCTTGTTATGTTACTATTTTCAGTAAACACGTAATGATGATGAGTTACTCTTTAAAAATAACTTTCCCAATCTTGGCGTGTAGTCACTTATTCAACGTGTAGTCATTATCAAATCGTTATTATAAAAAGTAACGGCAAAACTAATGGTATAACTTATTTCTCTATCCCTGCAGAATAATATACAAATACAAATTTAGCATGAAATGTCTAGTCGTATATAAATATTATAGTAGGATAAAAAGATATCAGAAATATAAATAAAAAAAGTGCTGTACAATAAACATGCAATAATTAAATGCAGTATTTTAGGAGTATTCGGTCATGATCCCGGAACGTGGTAATCGTGACGAAATCTCGAAACGTGCAATCTTATCCGACATTGCCCTCGCGTGCGCTATGATTTTAAATCGAAGTCTGACGCACGTGATTCCACCTACCCGATGCAAGAGAAACAATATTTCGCGATTGCGAAGCTAATAATACATACTTTCCCGGAAATACGTAACATCATGCTAAGATTCTGCTAAATTCACGCCAAGACTCTGCTTCCTATCATAAGCGGTGTATAATACACAATATCTATGTAGTTATCGTAAATATTTCGCAGCATCGCGCTACGCTTCAGCCATGTATAAATAATTCGTAAATTCCGACGTAATATCATTACGTCGAGCGTGTACAGAGCGTGTGTATATTGATGAAAATTTAAAGTAGAAAATTAAACAATAAGGTATATGTGCATTCTGAATAGCTAATTTATTGCAAAGTTAAATGAAAATTATACAATAAGATGCGTATGTATTATGAATAACTAATTTATTGCGAAGTTAAATGAAATTTATGCGTTTAAAGCATAAGAAACAAATAAATATGGGATAAATGTTCCATAAAATGTTGCATTACGTTCGCGTCTGTGTGCAAAATGGATTCCGAATTAAATCATCATTAACATATTAATTATTCAAGAAAAAATTAATTTTTCTTGAATATCCCTCGCAATATCTCTCGATCATGCATCTTACCACCCGGCTAAATCAGAAAGCGTCATTTTCTTCAGAAAGGAATAATTACGCGCGACATGCAACCCGTTAATTAAACATCAGCCAATTATTTCAAATTCCATGGCTAGAAGAGATGCGTACAGAGAGTATCTCGTGCGCAAAACAAAAAAAAAATTATAATCAAGCGTCGTATAATTAATGTTCACTTCACATTATCGATTATTCACGACGACAGTCGCGATTAATATTACGTCACGCCTTAAGTCACTTAAGACGATCGCTTAATTAATTCTTAATTAACGTACGCGTCGTCGAGATTCAATAAAAAATTCCTTACATCTGTTTCGGTTTAGTGGTGGGCGCGTTGCAGTCCATGAGAAGTAACGGAATTAACACTATCCGATGAGAAGAAAGTTTCGCTGTTTCCGGCTTCGCCGGCAAGACACCGCTATGAAACGATTCACACGACGAATGGCATTTCCGGTCCCGAAAGCGCAACGTGGCGCGTACGCGGTCGCAAACACTCCGCGCCTACGTTCACTATATACATCCGGTATGCACACGCGGAAATCCTTTCGCGATGGTGGTGGAAGTCACCGCCGCGCGGAATTGTGTCTCACGAAAGCACCGATTGTACACGTTCCTTGCACTGCATCCAGAAAGCGGCACTTTGAACCTCCTCCGCGAAACTCGATCGTCAGTCACTCGCGCGATAGTAGGGGAGGGAAGACGGGAACGAGGGGATGAGAACGCAACCCTTAACAAATCGAACGCAACGAATAGCGCGACGATAAAAACAAAGGGAATAAAAATAACGAAAAAAATGGATGAAAGAAGGGGAGGAGAAAAAATGCGCGTCGGATTCGCGAAGAAGACGAAAAACCCAACGTTAACGCGCCGATCCGAGTAGACCGAGGACTAAACACTAAAAGCGGCACAGGCATACCAAGCAGCTCGACCGGCGGGGCTGTTGCTTATTGTGTAAATATAAACAAATATAGTTGAAACCAGCCAACAGGCCTGCTTTCAGCTCCCCCACCTCTCATCCCCCCGCTGCCACAGTCCTCCGCTCAATGTGTATACCCTACCTTCTTCTCCTCCACGTCCCCATACCCCTCCCCGTATTCCCGCGTCCCCTCTACGCGGCACATCCAAAGACTTTCTCCCCTCGTCCCGCTTAGACACCATCCCTTTACCACGTCCCTGACCCCACTGCTACCAGACTACATCATACATGGCACATCGTGGTCTGACTCGTCTTACCATATGTTCGTTTCTCCTTCTCACTCTCATTCTCTGTCTATACTTTTTCTCTTTTTCTCTTTCTCTCTCTTTCTTTTTCTGTGCTCGCGCATTACACATCGCCGACTCGTCGCACACTGTCGCCGAAGTCGGTGGATTACGTGCCAGGCCCTAAGAGATCTTCGAAGTTCCTCTTCTTTTTTTTTTTGTGGGACGCCTCCATGGATCGTAGAGAAAGAAAGCGGTCGAAGTGTGTCTTTCGTGGATATTTCTGACGTGCGTGTTGTGGCTATGATTATTCGGAACTAGTTTAGTTTAGTGTTAAAATCTTCTACTATCAATTGATATGAAGAAGGAATAAATAAAATTTTTTCAAATACATTTTAACGTTGGCATGATGTAATTTATGATATTACCATAAATATTAGAGAAAAATCGTTTTGAATTTTCTGTGAAGAAATTACAAAATTAAATAAAAAATACAAAAGTAATTGTTTCGAATTATATTTGTGCATACAACGGGTATTAAATTTATTCCGGTTGTTTCTGAAGACATATAAAATACGAAAAGATATTATTTATTTTAAATAGAAATTTTCATTGTTCGTACACTGTTTAAAAATTTCATGAACTTTACAAAAATGTACATTTGTTATATGCAAGATATTCTTTCGACTAGAATTTTCGCCAAGTATTTATAATTTATATTTCAAAATGGTGGCAAACCATCAAGTTGGTTTTTGCTAACAAATTTCTGCCGAGTAAATATTGAAACTTCTCTTTTAAAAATTATATCGCTTTGGGGAAAAACTATACTTTGATATCTCTCTCTATTTATTATTATATCGTATATTTATCTATATTCTCGAGACATAATCTTGAGTTACAAACTGTATAAACAGATAGCACGTAGCGAGTAACTTTTGACAACGCACTCTTCAACGTATTGACAACACATCATATGCATCATTGAAGACTGACCCTCTTAACTCACTTCACGATAAGCACCTCACGACTTCACTCCGCATTTCGTGAAAAGAAACGAAGTGGACGATGCAGGTATGGAAATATTCCTATTCTTCGGTGCTAAGTATGTGTGTGTGTGTACACACACACACACACACACGCACACGCACACGCACACGCACATATATATATACATGCGCGTGAGAGGCGGTACGCATAAGCGATAAATACGCGTGTACACACGTGTTGCCTGACGCAACTTGAACCACCGGCTTCAAGTTTGTACAGGCAAACCGGAAATAGGGGACAAAATGTTCCTTGAAACGTGTCTTCAAAATATTTCTTTCACTCGTTGCCTCAACTTCTCAACAATTGCACGATATAGAGCGATACTACTGTACTTTCCCGCTGTGATCCCGAAAAACACACGCTCTCAAATTTCGAATTATATCACTCATTTCGTATTTGTATGTACATATAAACTTATTATTACACTGTGACACAGTGTCCCTGCAAGGGATGAAGCTTCGGTTATTTTGCGAATTTATTTTGCAGTTAATAATGTAAACAATATTTATCTATAATATATCAATAATATTTATCTATAATTTTCAATTATAGCATATTGAAAAAATTAATACAACTGAACAATTTTTAAATTATTAAGAAAAATAAAAATGAAATTTATAAAATTTATACAAATATTAAAAATTTGAATCTTATTAGATCGATTTGAATCTCATTTAATTTATAAATCTTATATCTTATCAATATATGTGTATTATATATGTACATATTTGTCATAAACTACTCACATCGTAATAAGTACGATATATACTAAATTAGAGTCTGAAATTACGAATTATTATTGAAACACAAATTTTTTTATTGACGATATCAAAAACTTAATACGTTAATATACGACTTGTAAAATAATACAAAACTAAAATATATACTATTACTTTATTAAGAATCGTAAATATGCAAACCGCTCGAACTCTCCAAAAACTAAATTGAACATTCTAAGATGCCTTCCATTAAACTCATCAATATTTTGCTGAAAAATTTAATAGAAACCTATATTTCACAGAACACTTGAATAAATAACATAAAGCCAAAGTCGAAGTCGGGACGACTAACCTGCATAAATTTCCGTCGAAAATCCGGTGTTCGCTGTAACGCGGAATTTTCACTGCATTTTCCGCAGCGGTGCTTCAAGCCTTCGACTCGCACATTCTACGCGCGTGGTTTTAGAGAGAGCCCGCGTAATATAAAAATAAATTCTGCAAAAATGCTAGACGGATGGTTAACGGTGCAAACGGATATAGCCGGTATTACACGCCTCGGTACATAAAGTTCTTATTAAGCGGACTGTATAAAGATTTAACAATGAGAATGCTAACACAATCGTGCCTTTTTCCACGAGCAGCGGCATCGAAGAAAGTTTGCGAGCGACTTTATTAGACCCGCGATATCGACCCAACTATCAAAAGCATTCGAAACGATTCATGGTTTT